AGGAAAGGAAAGGAAAGGAAAGGAAAGGAAAGGAAAGGAAAGGAAAGAAAAAGAACCTCTAGTGGGCTGGGGAAGTGGCTCAGTCAGTAAACGCCTGCCACACAAGCATGAGGGCCAGAATGTGGACCCCCAGAACCCATGTTAGAAGCCAAGCACAGTGGCGCATGTCTGCATTGCCAGTTTTGGAGTAGCAGAGACAGGCAGAGCCCTGAAGCTTATTAGTCAACCTGTCTGGCTGTACTAATGAGATTTAGATTAAATGAGACTCTCCCCAAAAAATAAAAATGTAAAGAGATTGAAGAAAGAGACCTAAAGCCTACCTCTGGCCTCCACAGGAACAAATGCACGCACTAAGGAGCACATACAACACACGCACACCCCACACAACAAAAGGAAGTTTTGGCGTGATATCAAATGTCGTGACGACATGTACCTCTCCCAAATCCCTGTCTGTGTGAGGCCAGCCTTTTTCCATTTGCTCCAGCAGAGGCAGCGGCAGAGTGGAGCAGAGGAGGAAGGGTCCAGTTGCCTCACGCTCAGCTGATGACACAGACCCAACACACATAAACATTACTCCTAGTTTTCTGTTTTAGAAAACAGCTATATTTAATAAAAATGTTATTTATGTCAACACACAATGGATTCATTATTGGCCTTTAAATTGCTTGATGGGTAAGTGTTTTAAAGTTCATGGCTTTAAATTCATATACAGTAAATATCAAACACTATAAACATAACAGAAGCTTAAGGCTCTTTAAACATTGTTCCTGTGGTGTGTGTTCTGTGTGAGTGAAAAGATGACCTTTGTGGAATCTGGAGTCAGGGCTCTTCTGCCTTCAGGTGGGTTCCGGGATCTGACCGCAGGTCAGCGGGCTTTCCCGGCAAGTGCCTTTATCTGCTGAGTCATCTCTCTGGCCCCGTCAATAATTTATATGAGTCTAAAGGATCTGTTAAATTCAACAAATTAAAAAGACCACGTGACAATGCTTTGTGTTGCTGTTGTAGGGACTGGGTGAGGACCAAGAAAGAACTTGGGCTCCCAAGTTCAACAGTCTTAGAGTTGAACTCCAGCAAGTGGCCAGTCCCACGAGCCCAGCATCAGGAGATGATAACCAAAGAGCCATAGCCACGTTTCTGAGTGCCAGTCTCCTTATCTTGAAAACCAGGCTGTGGTAACGGCTCCTTCACAGGGTTGGTAGGAAGGCTGACACCAAACAGAGGCAGTGCCCACCATCCATCCACTGGGTGATCAGTAACCGTAACGAATTGTAGTGGTAATACATTGGCCCAAGTCGAAGGCATCATCA